CTTGCCCCTTCCTGCCTTTCTCAAAATTGCTAGAGGACAAATTAGCTATTAAAGAAGAAGAAGAAGAGGAAGTCGGAGCATCTCATGCCGCGGGCGGCTCTTGATAAAATTTCATGTTTGCCTGTCAATTTTAATTTTCTGTTTTTTTCAATTCAGTAGTTGCTTTCTGTTGTCTGCATGTTCCATGTTTTCATTAATGCAGTTTTAGAACTTAGTTCTAGTTTTCTTTTTTTTTCCCCATCAGTCAGTTTTATTTAGATGGTTGTCAGCCTGTTGAATTTAGAAAAGGAATGAAAATGATAGGAGGCTGGAGCTGTTTAGTTCTCGCATATCTAACTACTTCGATTTTTCTGTCTAAATGGCTGGTCTGTGGAAATTTATAGGATGATTGCTTTTGCTGCCCATCAAAGGATATTCTAGTGGTTGCCCTGTCTCAAAGGTGTCTTTTTTAGTAGTATTTGGTGGCATTGCCTTGATAAATATCCCTTGGCCACTCTAGGATCTTAACCAAAGCCGATTTTCAATGTTGAGTATCCTTTCCAGCACAATGCTAGCTAACCAGTGTCCTTAGAAAACAAGCACCTATTTCTCCCTTGTAGAATCGCTTATACTAGGAAATTCTTCAAATTGCCATTTTCATCTTTCCTATGTTCAATCTAAGTTTTGAGGATCCTTTTTCTTATTTTCTAATTAAGCATTGAGGACGCTTCTTTTTAAGTTTGGGGGTGAGAGATTTTCATTTGTAACAGTAGCATGTACAGTGTAGTCCTTGTGCTAAGACTATCTTTTAAAGCTATGAAAAGTTTTTGGCCTTGTATTTCAGCTTAAAAAAAAGGGTATCCAAAGAGCTGCAAGGTTTGGAATGGCTAGTAGCCCATAGCTGTCTTAGAGGACTTTAGTTGACCAGCAGTGTAGGAAGGAAGTCGGTACTTTTGAAAGGGGGTTGAGGGGATTTTTCGAAAGTAGTCAAAGGAGAAGGTGAGCCAAGATTGTCAAATATGAATAAAGCACCTTAGTTCCAGTGCAAGAGCTGGTTGGTTCCTTTGTGAGCTAATGCATGAGCAATCTAAGAAACACTTACTACAGTAATGAATTTGAGGCATAAAGGAGAATAGTTTGGGCGCTTGGCTAACAACTCCTAGCTTTTAGAAGATAAGAGTTAGTATTGCTTGGGGACAAGCAATAGGCTAAGTTTGGGGGTGTGATAACTCTCCTAAAGAGAGTTAATTGTGTCTAAAAGTTGCATAAAATAGCTAAAGATAGTCTCATCTAGCCCCTTTATTCGATAAGTGTGCCTAATTTAGAAGATAAATCAATGTTCTCCTATGTAATGTTAGCGCTCGTATAAATGATCTGATTTTGAGCATTTTGCTGCAGCTTTAATGATGCTACAACATCGGTTCCAGAAAGATACAAAAAGCAGCAAACTAGCAGTGAAAAGTCTTCTCAACGTCATTTACCCCAATAACTGGAGGTTTGCCTGAGAGTGAAAGCTGAGTCCCACATGACTTGTTTTGTTGCCCTAAAATCGGAAGGAGGTATAAATGCCAACAAGAGGATAAGCCTCCACACACATCAATACAATTCTATTGTTCATTTTTGAAGGAATCAACCCTCACTCTAAGAAAACATCTCCAACCGTTAGAGAAAGTCAAGAGGAGAAGAAGACAGTTATCAGCAGCTGAGAAGAGGCCGAGAACTCTTATTGGGAGCTGATCTTCAGCTCCCTCTCTTCATTTTTAGCAACTTTGTATTGTTTTTATTCCTACATTTTTTAACCTCCTTATGGCTTTATCTAGCTAAACACCTTGTGTAAGGGGGAGATGTTGTGCACTAATTTTTTGGGTTGTAACCTTGTTGTTTTGCATTAATGATAGTATGTTTTGAGTTGAAGTTAATGTATCACTCTATTTTCGATGTGCTTGATCACCATGTTGAAATATCTCTTTGACAACCTTTGGAAAAATGTATTAGGGAACGAAAAACTTCATCTCGAGCTAGAGTCTACTTGAGTTTAGAGTGTGGTGACTTAGGGATAAGCATCACCTAACTTGGTCATGAAAACTGTGCATGTATGCTATTATTGTTTGTCTATGAACTTTAATGGTAGAAAATCTGGGGTGTTTGGAAGAACATATTGTTTGTTTGACCACTGCATTCACTCCATTAATGCTGCAGCATAGTTAAGCTGGCCCAGAAAGAGTCGACGTCCTCTCCCCCTTGCGCTCTTATTTTCATAAGAACTTACTTAGCGAGCGAGATGTTTGTTAACTCTAGCAAAAACTTTACGTGTGGTTGATATAATATATATATTTAAACAGCTTTTATTTCGATGCATTTTAGCCATTATTCAGAAGAAAAATTACTTAGTTTATTGCATTGATTTCCTAAGTGAATATTGGGTGTTTGGGCATTTAGTCTCTGTGGATTCAAACTTTTTATTTCTTGCTGCGATGATTGTGTATACTTACACATAGAAAAATTTGTAGCATAATCCGTAGACAACAATATTTAGGAATGGGGTCCCCTAATCATGCTTAGAACTCGTTTTCATTGCTTGGGTATCTAGCAACGGAAGTTGTGGATATTCATGTTTGGGTATCTCAAAAGGGAACCACATCGAGTTGAGCAATAGCAGTCGATTACATGCTAGAGTAGAGGTTGGGATTTAGTGAAAGCATAAGGAATCTCCCTAATTTCCTCACATCTGTTAACCCCTCATTCTCATTCGATGCTAAAGCATTTCTTTACCCCATCATCTGTTATTACAGTATTTCTCTCTTGGATTTCATTTATGCATTTTTGTAGCATTTTACTTAGTTTAGTTATACAAATACCCATTATTCTTTATTTGCATTTTTGGTATCCTTAAAAACATGCTTAGAGTAACATCCTTAGTCCTTGTGGATACGACCTTGTTTATACTACAATCGGCTAGAATAGTGAACACTTGCACTTACATTCACATCGATTGTGGACACGCAACATAGCCCCCATACCCTTTTGTCATCGTTGGCTTGAATCAAGTCTCTTAGGCTCTGCTATACGTTAGTTTTAATCGTTAGTCTCTTGTTGGCCTTGAGATCTAACTTAGTTGGGCAAGTTTGCTTGCCTTAAACACCTTTGGGTTTCCAATAAATGACCTCTTTTTCGATATTCGAGTCTACCTTAAATGGTTGAGCTACAATCAAATGGGGTCGAGGAACAATATTAGAGCCGAGCATGCGGTTGCCTTTGGTGATGCTAATGCGTAGCTCAACTCGGATCAATTCCCCCCCCCCCATAAATCGAGTGTTAAAAAGTAATTGAACACACAAAGATATCGAGGTCAATTTGAAACGATAAAAGTACAAGTATACGGAATTCCAAAAAAGCAAGCTATTTCATTCCTAACCAAAAAAAAAAAAAAAAGAAGAATGGGGAAATGTGTGGACTCAGGCGAAAGCTATAAGAGTAGGGGGTCGAAGCGCATGAATTTTTTTTCAAGCATTCTGATGGGCTTCATTCTGGTCAGCTTGGGTAGTAGCTAACTCAGTTGGAGTCTGCTCTTCCTCCTCCATTTTAGTATCGAAGGCTTGGTAGATCGAGGAAAGCTCCAAGTTAGGCGGTATTTTCTTCACCACTGCCACAATGATGTCAAAACCCTTGGTCAGCCAAGTCCCTGACCAGGTCGTCAAACTCAGGAAGCTCTTTGATAACTGATTCGAGCTCATTATAGCTGACACACTTAGCTTATGATGTAGACTTTTCAGCAACGCACTATTTGATCTCTTTGGCCAGCTTTCCTCGGCCTCCTTGGCCCTTAGCTCAACAGCCCTTACGTCAAGCCTAGCTTGGCTCATAAAGTTTTCTAGTGAAAAGGTCGATTTTGTAAGTTCCTTGATATTAGTGTGGGCCTTTGCTAGTTCAACCCTCAACTCTTTGATGGTTTTTGTTGCCTTACGCTCCCGTGTAAAGCTGACCTTCCTAGTTGTCAGCTCTTAGCTGACAATCGTCCCTGTGTGGCACGCTGTGAAGTGGAGCTGAACCAGTTGGTCGATCAGGCTCTAGACGTAGTCTCCGGGCTTTTCAAGGAAAGCTCCTTCGTTCCTCCTCAGAATTCGAGCTGAGCTGCTTTTGTATGCCTTCAAAGCTGATTCCGTTTGGAACCGTCGCAGGTTGAGCCTTGTCCTCGGAGGTTGAAAGGGTACATGAAGTCCATATTTAGAACTATTGCAAGTTGAGCCTTGTCCTCGGATGGGATGTTGATCGGTTTAGTTAGGGATCGGGAAGAAGCCTCGTCAGACCTCTTTCCTTTGTGCTCAGAAGAAGCCTGACCCTTCCTCTAAGAAGAGGACAGACTTGGCAGTACTGTCTGAAGCGGTTCGGCCCGTAAATGCCGAGAGAATCCCTCTAAGCCTCGAGGAGCCGAGGCGTGTGCACTTACAGACTTTTGGTATTACTTTTGGTGAATCTCATACAAAAATTCCACCCATAATAGAGTAGGCAATAGAGATCAACCTATGAGACACCTAATTTAAAGTTAAATAAGCGAATAGACACAAAACTGAAAGTTCAAGAAGCTATTAAACACAAAATTAAAAGTTTAGAAATTTGTCGGTAGTTTTTAAAGTTTAGAAAAAGATTAGACACCCCTCTTTAAACAAAAACTCAATTCTATTTTATTTTTCAAAACCATGGTATTAAATATTCATCGACATTTCTATCCATGGGTTCGACATTGACACGAAGTGTAAAATTGACATTTCCATAATATTAAAGAATCGACAAAATATAAAAAGATATCAACAAAATGTCATTAATATAGGTAAACTATTAATATTAATCATCTTTAACTTATCTAGAAATGGTGAAATATTTATTTATTAATTTAATATTTAACTTTTATTTTTAATTTTATAACTTTTCCAGAAATATCCATCAACATCAACATTTTATCGATATTTTTATTAAATTGAGACCTCGACGTTTCTATCCAGATGAACATTAAAAGCAAACCATCTAAAATATGAAATTAAAATTTATTACAAATTTAGTTACACAAACTCTTTCTTCTTTATTGTTTTTTATATTGTTTCTAAATGCAACCATCTCCATCAATCTCCATAACAAAAGACTCAAGATTCACATCCGAGGACCCACCTTCACCAATAGCTTCTCTAGCCAATTCTTTCCACTTTTTGACATTTCTCTCCATCTCTCCTCTCTTTTCCAAACTTGTATCCCCCATAACAATATCCAAACAACGCCTAATTTCTCCCCTCTCCACAATCCCTTTTGCATTGGGCTTCACCCTCACCCCTGTCCTCCATACATCCTCCACAAGCTTTGCATTCGTGGCCTGATCCACCTGCTGTGGAAAACCAACCATCAGCACTCCATAAACCAAGCTTTCTAAAGTCGAATTCCAACCACAGTGCGTCACAAAACAACCCAAAGAAGGGTGGCTCAAGACTTGAACTTGATCGCACCACCTCACAATCTTCCCTTTCCCTCCAAATTTCTTCATAATCCTCTCATCCTCCTCCTCTTGATCTTCATTCTCCTTGGATCTTATAACCCACAAGAACGTGTACCCACACTCAAACAAAGCACCAACAATTTCTTCCTCTTGTTGATCAGACAACACGCAAATAGACCCAAAAGATATGTAAATCACCGACGACTCCGCCTTAGAGCTCAACCATTCTATATAATCTTCAGACGTGACCTGAAAAAGATCACCCCGGATCGAACCACGCTGGATCAACGGCCCCACCGCCACCATTTTCAACTCACCGATCGCTCCCAAGGCCTCTCCTTCCAACGTGTGGAACGTGTTCACCAGTACTCTTGCCCGACCCTGTCGTCCAAGAAACTCTAGCTGCTCTCTCATTAGAGGGATGAAAAAAGCGAGTGGCCCAGAAGGGGAGAAGAAAGAGGGGAAGTCCCGAGCAGTGAGCGATGGCAGACCCGGTAGTTGTATGGAAAAGGAGGGGTCTTTCTGGAGCAATTGTGTGGAGATGGCATCACCATGGCCGTGGAAGTAATAGTAATACAAAGCTAGAACTGTGGCGGGTTGAGCGAAGAAAAGAGAGGAGGCGATTCCGAACGTGGAAGCAACATCAGCCGCCCAACTGAGGAGGAGGCTGTAGATGACGAAAGTGATCGGACGACCGTTGTGTGCGGAGGAGGTGATGAGGTCGGTCATAGATTGGGAACCGCACCGGTTGAGCTCGGAGAAGTAGTGGGCGAGGTCGTTGGCGTTGGGTTTGAGGGTTTCGTCGTCGAAGCCGTCGGAGAAAGTGGCAAAGGAGAGACGTGGTGAAGGCGACGGTGGCGGTTCGGTTTTGTTCATACGACGACTGGCGGTGACGGTGGTGGCAAAAGTGACGGCGACGCCAAGGTTTGCGAGGCGGATGGCGAGTTGGAGGGAAGGGTTTATGTAGCCTTGAGAAGGGAAACATATGAGAAGGAAATGGTGGTTTTTGTTTCTCATCATCCTCTAAATTGGATTTTTTTCCCTCTGTTTGTTTAACAAGGTTTGTAGCTATGAAATGAAATGTAAAAGAGAGATTCATAGAATTTAAGGAGAAAAGGGACTCTTCTTGTCAATTCACTTTTTGGAAAAATGAGGGAATAAAGAAAAACCACGAAGGACTTATCTAAATGAGGTAGAAAAGTCTTGGAGCCTTAAATTTCAAAAATATGATAGTGATACAATGGACAATTGGGTATTTAATGTGCAGGGCCCACACTGTAATTATTAAATATATTTTCTTTTTGGAAATATAATATTTCAATTGAATCAAGAAAAGTGATCTAATTTCTCTTTTATATGCGAAATAGCTTCGGATCCAGAACAATTCTGATGACATTATTTAAAATTCAGTACATGTGGAGACAGCAGCAATCCTTTAATTTTATTTTTCCTTATCATAATTTCAACCCACGGAAATATAACTATAACTTTATATTAAAGAATTTCTATTAAAAAAATTTTAAAATAAGGAGCAAAATAATTACCTTGTATAGTGATCAAAATGAATATTTCAAAAGTACATAAACTAAAATGAATTAAATTTAAGGACAACGACATCAATCGTCAAAATAAATAATACGTTTTAAAAAATGACCAAATATATTAGATATTGCAAGGATGATAAGTGACATTTTTCTTTTAAATACTGAATTAATTTTTAGACAAGTATACCCTTAGTTCTCTTGTAACCAATTAGGTATGTATGTTTGATCCTAGACATCTAAAATTTATAACGAATATAAAAAACAAGAGGTCTTTAATGTGTGGAATCAACTATATCTAAATTTAAATATATTAAATCTATTTTAAAATTGATACCCTATATTTTAAAATCAAATTTTGAAAATAGATTTTTAAAAAAATTATTAAAAATGTGTTCATCTAGATTTTGAAATTTATAGATTTAAAATCTAAATTTTGGTAAATATGATTATATTGAAAATTTTAAATCCTAAATTTTTAAAAGTTGATCCAGTCTTTGACCGTTATTTGTAGTCTTTACTAAAATTTGGACTTTACTCTAATTTGGCCCACTTTTTTTTTTTGGCATAAGAAGATAAGACCAGTTTATGACAGGTGATTTTATTTGATCTGTCAATTTTCATATTTTTTAATTTAATTTGAAAATACATGCCAATTAATAATTGATCCTAATTGTAATTTTGTTATTTAATTTAAAATAATGATGTGTAATTTGTGATTGACTGAAATTTATCCCTAAACAGTTGAATTTAATAATAACAATAATAATAATCATCGTACCTAGTTTTAACACTACCAATATTACTTGACTCCTTAACGGTGATGATCAAATCTTATCCTCACCACTGTTGAAAATTGATAATTCTTTTTTTTTTGTCCCCAAGAGGGATAGCTTCGGTGATTTGAGACCTTGAATACAATAGAATAGAAGTAAGAGTGAAATTGTACGAAGAACTTTTATTCAACTGTAATGAAACATGTTTATAACTGTTTATTCAGACCACTGACTCACTAATTAGACCATCACCCTTTAAATTATCTCTAATCAACACCACTAATCCATTAAGCCAAAAACTCTACAATCTCTCCTTTAACTTCCACTCTTTCGCTACTTTATTAACTACTAACTTTGAAAATTAACACCCAAACACAAGTCTTAAAATGTGGAAACATTTGCATTTGCTTTTCTCAACACACAATTAATAGCTATCTTCATCAATCTCCCTAACAAAAGACTCAAGATTCAAATATGAAGACCCACCTTCCCCAATAGCCTCCCTAGCCAATTCTTTCCACTTTTTGACATTTCCCTTTATTTCTTCTCTCTTTTTTACATCTGTATCCCCCATCACAATATCCAAACAACGCCTAATTTCTCCCCTCTCCACAATCCCTTCTGCATTGGCCTTCACCCTTACTCCCGTCCTCCACACATCCTCCACAAGCTTCACATTCGTGGCTTGTTCTATCTGCAGCGGAAAACCAACCACTGGCACCCCATAAACCAAGCTTTCTATCGTCGAATTCCAACCGCAATGCGTCACAAAACAACCCAACGAAGGGTGGCTCAAGACCTGAACTTGATCACACCACCTCACAATCTTCCCTCTCCCCCCCAATTTCTTCATCCTCTCCTCCTCATCATCCATTGATCTTATTACCCACAAGAATGTGTGCCCACTCTCCAACAAAGCACCAACAATCTCTTCCTCTTGCGTATCAGACAACACGCAAATAGACCCAAAAGATATGTAAATCACCGACGAATTTGCCTTGGAGTTCAACCATTGGATATAATAATCCTCCGACGAGATTGGAGAACGACAAAGATCATCATATGGAATCAAGGGTCCAATTGGCACCATTTTCAACTTATCATCAATGGCTCCCAAGGCCTCTCTTTCCAATGCGTAGAACGTGTTCACCAGCACCTTCGGCCGAATCTGTCGCCTAAGAAACTCAAACTGCTGTCTCATTGGAGGGATAAGAAAAGCGTTGGGGTTGGAAGGAGATAATAAAGAAGGCATATCCCGACTAGCGAGCAATGGCAAACCCGATAATTGTAGAGAAAAGGAGGGGTCTTGTTGGAGTAATTTGGTGGAGATGGTATCTTCATAGCCATCCACGAAGTAGTAATAGTACAAAGCTAGAAGCGTGGCAGGCTGAACGAAGAAGAGAGCGGAGGGGATGTCAAATATGGAAGCAACATCGGCTGCCCAATTGAACATGAGGCTGTATATGAGAAAAGTAATCGGACGACCGTGGTTTGCCGAGGAGGTGATGAGATTGATGAGAGAGTGGGAGCCGCAACGGGTTAGCTCGGAAAGGTAGTGGGCAAAGTCGGCGCTCAGCTTGAGGGTTTCGTCGTCGAAGCCATCGGAGAAAGTGGCGAAAGACAAGCCTGGTGTTAAATACGAGAGGAGTGTCAAATATCTTATGTATGAATTAAATTTACTATAACTCATTGGATTTATGGATCGTTTTTAATCATGTTTAATACCTGGTGTGGTAAAATCGTGGTGGGTTTTGTGGTAACGACGATTGGCAACGATGGTGGTGGCGAAGGTGACGTGGGCACCGAGGGATATGAGTCTGTGGGCAAGTTGAAGAGAAGGGTTTATGTGGCCTAAAACAGGGAAACATACGAGAAGGAAATGGTGGTTTCTCATCATCCTTCTCTCAATTTACCTGTACTTTGTAGCTATGACATCAAATGTAAAGAGATGTTGATTGAATTTAAGGAGAATGAAATGGACTCTTACCAATTTTTTTCTAAGTTTAGTTGACCTATTAAGGTAAAGTACTTGGGAAGAATTAAGCTATGAATTTACTTGGGATCATTCAAAAAATCAGCCTTTAAATTACAGGAGACATGCTGACATGAATGAAGAAAGTTTGTGAAGATTTGCAAGGATATTTCCCAATTTTAATGACAGCAGACTTTTTGACAAAAATAAGGAAAGATTTGCATAGAAAGTTTGCTGAGATTTGCAAGTATGTTTCATTTTTGAATGACAATAGACATTTTGACATAATAAATAAGGAAAGTTTGCTGAGATTGAGGTTGTCAGTAGACCAAAGATATTGGTTTAATAAGTGACAAAACCGAAGGACTTATCTACATCTACACAATTTGAATTAGTCTATAATAAATTATCACCCCATAAGTATAGATTCAATTTCCATGAAGATTTATTTTATTTTAAATTATCACCCCATCATTTTTTCCAAAAGTAGTTAAATCCACAAATTAATTAATTTTAAATCATTTTTAATCGACATTTTTAACTTTCAATACACAATGGAGAGCATTGTGGCAGGAGTACCAATGATGTGCTGACAGATTTACGGTGACCAAATCATCAATGCTACTTAGAACAGGAAAGTGTGGAAAATTGAGATCGAAAATGATGATAAATGGGGAAAGTCAACGGTAAAAATGATGATCAAAGAATTGATGGAAGAGGAAAAAGAAGCGGAGATCTAGAGATCCATTGAGAAGTTTTCAAAATCAAAAAATAAGAAGGTTGTCAAAGGGTGAGCTGCACAATTTTTGAAAACTAGGAACTTCTAGTACAACACCTCACAAAATTTAAACCATCTAATTCAACATGTCAAAAAATGTCGTCTCTTTTGAGATTATTTCATCATTTATATAAATCTATATTTCACCTATGTTGTTCAGTTATGTCACCAAGACTAGATTGAATTAGAAATTATCACTAAAACAAGTCACATTAAATTTTAATATACTAATTCAAATAATTTTCATGTAGGTATACATGATTTTGTTTTCAAATTTTCATCGCAACAACATTTTCATAAGTATATTACTTATATATTTAGATATGATGATTAAAATTGATAAATTAGACTGTAATTAAGACACAATTAAAATATTGTTTACTAATTTAAAAATTTTGCTTTAGTATCCACAATTTTCGCGATTTTTCTCGAAATATCCGTCAACATCGATATGTCCATAAAATCAAAATCTCGACTCGATGTTTTCATCGACATTGACATTTCGAACCTTGCTTGTAATTATTTAAAAATTTGTGCGCTCTTATTGGGCTTGTCAGTCTAAATACAATATATGTTATTTTTGAAGAATTTTAAAACTAATAATATATATATAAATACATGTTTACTTTTGTATTATTTTTATAATTGACTTGAAAAACAGAGAAAAGACAGAAAGTGATGGATTTTTTTTTTTTTTTTACAATGATGTATTTCAAAAAGAGACTACAGTGATTTGAAATGTAATCACAAACATTGGGGAGTGAAAGCGCGTAAATATATATAATTTATGTATACATTTTTCAATATGACGTGGCAATTTCTAAATTGAGGACAAGGTGCACAATTTCAAAAGTTTTCTTTTTTTTTTTTTCACATTTACTGAACGAATGGAGTGAAAATGCAGATTTATCTTTAAAACTGTTTTTAAATTCCGTGATTTAAACCATACAAATTTTGAAAGCAACATTTTTAGGTTTTCAGTGTTTTCTGATTCTAAATTTGAAATTTTAAAACATAAAATTATAACTTTAATAAATATATTTTATCATGTTATAAATCTATTTCATTTTTTTTTTAAACTAAAAAAGGTAAAACATTTTATATATATATATATATATATATATATTATAAATATACAACATTGTAAAATAATAATTAAATATTTAGTTAGTAACTAACTAGTTTATGAATATACAACTAAATACTTTGAACGACAAAATTTAAATATACTAGCAAACACATATCTTAAAACGTTAAAATTAAAAAAAAAACCCCAATGCATCCTATATTATTTTTTAATTTGCTTTCCAAATAGCATTGTTTTAAATCAGTCAAAAAGTGATCGGTTCTGCAAAGAAAAAAAAATTAATATATGAGTTGCAATAGTGCATTGTACAGTTTATAGCAAGGTTTTAAATGTCAATGTCGATGAAAATGTCGAGGTCTCAATTCATCGAAATATCGATGTAGATATCGATAAAATGTCGATGTTGATGGATATTTATGTAAAAGTTAGAAATATTTAAAAATCGTAAAAAAATATTTAATTTAACAAGTAAACATTTTCCTATTTCTAAATTAGTTAAAAATAATTATCGCAACGTCATAGCGATGCGGAGCGGCCGACGTCATTCCCTAAAGGTCTCTTTCGAGATTAGGGTTTGGAGTCGCTATCAATCATGTACGAGATGTGATTGGTCTCCTAAAAAGAAAAATTGGTCTACGAAAACATATATTTGGTTTGGGAGTCGACTGAACGTAGGGAATGTGTTAGCAACCTACGACACCCGCTCGAGAATGTTACCATGCTTTGTTAGAAATTATCCTATTATATTTGGTCCAAAAAGAAAAATATTTTTGTTTTTATTTTAAATGCCTCAAATTTATTGGTGTCACTTTACGATAAAATATGAACCAACAAGAATGAGTGGTGCAAAGACTATTAGAAACAAAAAATGACCTTGAGAATATTGGAAGGTTCCAATTTTCGTCATTGGAGCTTTTCAAATAATTCTTAAAAAATAAAAACAAAAGGAGAAAAGGAAAAAAAAATATATATATAAGGACTTAATCTTGGATGGTAGAACTCAACAACCAAGCCTATTGACACTACACTAGCACCTAAAGATTTAAACTTGATTTTCTTTTTACAGTATAAACTTCGTATTTTTGAAATTTGTTTTATAAAAAAGAAAAAAAAATTATAAACGAAAAAAAAAAACGTTTTATTTTATTCTAGATTTGAAATTTGTTTAAAACTATTTTATTTATATATAAAAAAAAATCAAATTCATATAACCAAATTTATTTAAAATAAACTCTTATTCAATTTTTTCAGAACCTTATTGAACAACTCTTTTATTTTAAAAGCAAATACTACTTTATAATTTTAGAAACAAAATTTGTTTTCTTTTAAATCTCTTATTTACTTTCCTAAAAACTATACTTTAAAAGAAACTTTTTTCCAACTCAGTTAAAATAGACTCTTATTCAATTTTCTTTCAAAACCTTTTATCAAAAATTTGGTTTGGTTTACTGGTAATAAAAAAACAAACATTTTCCGAAATCATTTTTATTTATTAACAAAAAAGTTTCTCTTAACAGAAAAAAACCTCCTTTACTCACTTAAGCTGCCTCAATCACCGGAATGGAGGTCGCAGAAGTGCTGGTCGTCACTGCACCAGGATGGGTCGTTGGAGTTTGTGTTCTTACGCCAGGTTCAGCTATGTCGTCGTTGGAAGTCTCACTGTGTCAGTCGCTGCAACTTATTGGAGGTTCATGTCTAGAAAGAAACCCCACGCGACCAAAAGATTAGAAGAGAGGGAGGTTTGAGGATTTGNTTTTTTTTGTTTTCTTCAAGGTTGAAACCGAACAAGAAGAATGAAAGGGAGGAAATTTAGTGATTTTATGAGATGGGTATGTTTAGGATTTCAGCAAGTTTGTTCTTCTATGCCCTTTATGAAACCAAAGAAACCCTCCTTATATACGAGAACATGTGAGTCAAATTAGGAAGTTAATTTGATTTTGAGAAAAACCAAGGACAATAATGAAACTTACTCCTCTTACTTGACCCTTTAAACAATAAATAAAAATAAAACCCAACAAATACTTAATCGGTTTTTTTAAATTACTTTTTTATAACAACAATTAAATAAATAATAGTAAAATAATAGTAAAATAATAGTAGTGGTAATAATAATAATAATAATAATAATAATAAACCAATCTTTTTATTTTTTTAAACAAAATCTATTTTAAAAAGTAATTTAATCAAAACTTTACGAAACTTATAAAGCGACATGTGACGTAATTTGTATTAATAAAAAAAAAAGGAAGGAAGAAAGAACCGAAAAAAAAGAAAAGAAAAGAAAATATAAAAGAAAAGAGAAAAGAAGGATAGTTAGAAGGTAACTTGAAAAAAAAAGGAAGAAAAAAATAAGTCAAATCTCGTTATTGCATTGACAAGTGTTGGTTCATTAAAAAAAAAGAAAAAAAATTGTTCAAAGTCATGGTTGGAGGCTTTGAGTTTTATTTTTATTATATATTATTTTATTCAACTTAAATCTCGTTGCTTCATTTCTTATCTATCCTTAATCCAATGGTCCAAATTGATTTTGGTTTCAAATCAATTTCAAAACTTTTTCTCTTCTATTTAAACCTCTCATTCTCTCAAATTTTAACAACAATTTTTCCTCCCCAATTTTTCCTCCCCAATTTTCTCTTCAATCTCTTCATGTTTTTCTCTCTAAAATTTCAATATTGTTCTATTATTTAGCGAGAGAAATTTTTAATTTTAGAGATCCTTAAACTTCTAATTTTATTTTCTCTTAGCCATTTTAGGACTTTTATTTGTAAGATTTTTTCTTACAAATTTGTGAGCAAAAATTTGTATACCCACTCTTTGAAAAAGTTTGTAATTTTGTTATTAGATTTCCATATCCTTTGTAAGGCTTGCTCTTGAGCCCGAAAAAGAGCGTTGTAACGGTTTGATCTTGAACCGTGGAAATGATCGAGTTTCTTCTTGCTCCCGAAAAAAAAAGCTTTATATCGGTTTGACTACTACCGTAGATAGAGTCAAAGTTTCTTAATCGAATACCCAAGAGGTGCTTGGGGAATGAAGTAGGTCAGTTGTTGCCGAACCATT